CAAGAACACTAGGAAAACAAACTTTTTTAACAGGAATACTTCCCAGCAGTGTATCAACCTTGCTCAGATTTCACCAGTGGTGTGACCCTGCACACGGCAAGGTTTTGTGAAACCCAGTCTTAAAGGCAGAGCAATCAGGGTTTTTTGTCCTAATGACGTTAGTCCAACTGCTAGGTCAGGGTTGCTTAACTTGTGGAGCTTGATTTACAGCAGGCAGGCAACTGCCATTCTGCACCTTAGAGCACTTCAGTCACCTCAAACCTCTGCTTCAGGGACAGATTCAATTTATCAGGCCATACAGCCAGCACTTTGGCTGCAATCCAATTATACTAAATGGCTTCAGAAGCGTATCCAGAGACAATTTCACTTGCTAATCACCAAAAAGTAGGCTAACAAAGTGCTTCCCTTGACATGTGTTGCCATGACTGAGGTGTCCTCACACTGCTAAACACTCCAGAAGACCAAGACATAAGGTCTCACGTGCGTAGAGATTCTGATTTACCACAACATTCCAGTTCTCCTTGTATCATGATTTGGCAGATACATTGAAGAACTGTCCCCACAAAGCTGAGCTACCAATCAGTCCTGACTGCAGGAAGGGGATCATGGCAACATATTCCATCTTCTGGTAGTCTACAAATAAAGTGAGTTTCCTTCCAAGGCAGGACCATTACCCTGCCTATTTTTTAGAATTAAAAACTAACACCACAGAACTGTCTCCTCTCATACTCTCAAAAATTTCTTCTGTTGCCTTAAGTAGGATCTACTATTTTAAAAGTATGTCTTAAGCTGGTACCCTGAAAAAGGACGGCGATGAAGAAACTAGGTAGTTAGACATCACATAGAGTCATATATGTGATGGTGTCAACGATCTACAGTGTTATGACTTTGGAGGCCTGAGGGAGGGCTCCACAGGGACTGCACTTGATTCTTGACTGTCTAGATTGGTCATCAGCACTGTCACATTGACTACTTTTGCCCTGAAGGCACATGAGATAACAGGCACATTGTGGTGTGTTGCCAGTCAGTGGAAACCTCATTTTTTACTTTACTCTTTTCTTTAGGGTACTAAGGCTATTCGTATGTTACCCTACAGACATGAAGACGTAAACTTTGTTCTCCATATCAGCCCACAGCAGATCTAACTGCTCAAATGGCAAGAACCTCCTAGAAGTCTACAGCACTTAGATCTGCACCTACTAGGCACCACAAGTGTAGCAAAACCACTGCAGCATTTGGTGAATGGGAAATTGTGCCAGGTAGAATATGTCTTACAAATGACAGAAGGTCAAACATCACATTTGAAGACAGCCTGAAGATATGTGAGGTACACAATCTATTTCACACTTTAGATGCCTGAAAGTCAAGGCCATATATGAAGCCTTACAATTCTTACCATTTACAGGTATCTTGAAAATTGTGACAACCATGGAGCATTTTCCTGGAAGATTCTCCTAGTAAGATACTCTCAAGTAATAAAGTACATTGAATAGTGTTATTCTAACTTTAGTTTTTCATTCTAATGTCAGGTACATTTCAGCTAATCAATTCTACAGAAACAGGCCTTCTAATAGCCAATTTTATCTCATTCTAAGATAAACTTCTAAAATAGGTTATTGGCATTGTTGCTCACTCATAGCAACATGAGTAAGATCTTTCCCATATTTTTTCTCTGAACCCTTCCCCAGAGAAAGAAATATGAACAATGGAGTATTGCAGTGGAGAGTTTTTGGGTGTATCAGAAAGAGGCCCTCTGCCCTCTGAAGCCTCAAACTGCATTTACACAGAAAAGAATTGTCATGTTTCTTTTTTCTTTTTCCTATTTCTAATTAGTGACTCAGGACACATCTGCACAAAGCTCAGAAAAATCCAGTGCAGAAAAATATAAATAGAGCCATTCCAGTCAAACAAATCTAACATCTCCAACAAAAGATAATGTGTACTGAAAGGTTTAAGAGGATAAACAAACAGCAATAGCTCCTGAGAATGTTCTCCCAGCATTACACACTGTGCACCTCTACTTCTTGAAACATAGGAGATGCCTTTGTATATAACAGCGCTTAGAGTATTTTTATTCCTCTACTTTGTTCAGTTGTCTTTGAATCTATGTACATTTTTAGCATCTAGAACATCCCAGTAGCACAAAAATAACATATGCACACAAATTCATTCAACTCTTGATGCATCAGCTGAGAGACAGAACATGTTAACACCATTCACAACATGAGGAAAATAAAGGGATTATAAGTCCAGGAAGGAGGTAATAATTCCAGACAGCACTGTACAACTCTGTAGAGACACGACAACTCCATCTAGCAGAAGCTGGGTCTCAGTTTCTTCATCTAGCTATGCATGTAGAAGACATTTTTTTTGCTCTTTTTTTTTTTTTATAACAGTTTTTTAGGTTTTGTCAGTTTCAGATTCCACGGTAGTTGATTTTTAATTTGCAACAATTGTATGGCTTTTATGTAGTCTGAATTGAAGGAGTTATAATGTTCAGGAAAAGTACAGTGTCTTGACATTAAATATGATCTGACTGTTGAGCCTTACATAAACTAACAGGAGCTTTGAGGTTTGGCCTGACAGCGAATCTGCAAGGCGCTAAGTAAAAAAAATCCAAACAGTATTAACCATGGAAACTATAATAACAACTTGCACTGGAAAAGCAATGTAGCCTGGTAATTTTAAAGAAAGATAACATCAGAGAAGGAGCTACAGAGAGCCAAGTTAAAACACAGCTTCATTCTAAATCAAACTCACTCAATCTACAATGTTTTACAGTAACTCTTTCCATTAATTCAAATCTGGGAGCACAATAAAGTAAAAACTGTCTAGCTGGATCAAATCAGAGGTTTCTCCACTTAAGTATATGAATACAAATGTGGCAACAACAGATGCCTACAGTAACGTGCGGTTCTCAGACCTCAGCATCTCAGAGCTCAAGAACTTTCAGTCAAGCAGCAGTGTTTGTGTGACACACTCCACGGGTTTTTATTCCTTCAACTTTCTAATGAATTTTCAGACTGTTTAAATCCAGTGGCAGAGTGTTCAAACTGTAATCATGTAACAGGGAGAATGATCCCTTTCTATACTTTTTGAGCTTGCTATCAGATACTTTTGATACTCTAGTTCGCACATCGAAAAGGAGAGTTCAATAAATAAATAAATCCCTACTAATATTTTCTGTTGCATTGATGATTGTATGAAGCACAGAATAGGACATATTTCACCTCAGTTATGCCTTTTTCAAATTGACACTGTCACACCTTAACCGGAAGATGCCCAATGCTCCTGATCACTCTTGACATCTCCTCTGAACCTTTTCCAGTACTATTAGACCCACTTTGAGGTGTGGGGACCAGAACTGTATACACAATTCAAGATGCAGCACAAGATGGTTCATTAATAATAGTGACATTATGATGCTTTTGCTTGTTCTCCATTCTCTTCCTTATCATTCCTAAATTCCATTTGTTTATTTGACTAGTACATAACAGTGAGTGTATGTTTTCATTGATCTGCAATCCCAAGATCTCTTACCCGAGCAGTAATAGAGTCCAGAAATACATGAGTATTGAGTCCATGAAATACACATTTGCTTTGTTTTCTCCTTCATCTGCATCACTTCAGTATTATCTGAGTTTTCCATGCCACTTCATGATTCTGTCCCTCAACACTGCAGAGTCCTTTGAATACCTCTGCAGCCTGCTCTCCATTTCTACCCCATATAGCTTAGCATCAGCAGCAAATACTGTTACTTTAACTCATCTACCTGCCAGTTTTAATAAATCACAATTTGCAACAGAAACAGTAAGCAAAAAAATAAAAAAGATAGTTTCATATTTCTATATACTGTTAATTACAAATTTTAAACCAGCAGTCCAAGTGAAACTCTACTTCTTCTAGTACTTCGAAAACTGTATAATTACAAAATAAACCAAACCCTCTGCCATTACTAAAATGTTGCATACATGTGAAAGCAGCATGTCAACCAACAAAGCGCAATATTGAGATTCTGAGGCTCTCAGAGCAGCAGCTGCCTTTAAAAAGGGTACTTGTTTATGGTACTGAAAGAACAGAAACTTGAAGGACATGATGAAAAAGAACCTGAATTGACAGAACTGCAGGTTGAGGACTGAAATAGTGAGGCTAAAGATACCACTGAAATAAAAATTAAAAAAAAAAACCAAACCACAAACCAAACCCAAAGCAAAACAAACCAAAAAATCCCAAACCAAACCAATTCAAAAACCCCAAACAAACAAACAAAACACCCCAAACCAGCGAAGTGCACTAACACAGGTACCTGGGGAGTTTCATTCCTTTATAAATTAACCAGCTTCCACACATATGCAGGAAACCCACTACTTCTTTCAACTGTTACTATGGAACACGAAAAAAAAAATCACAAGAGACCAAATGATTACAAACCACAGCAACATGTTGTTCCCTCAACATCAAGAGGGCTGTCTTCTATGCTGAAGATGCTGGATTGTAGACTGGTGGATGTTCTCTAACACAAGTAGATAGCTCTGAGCAGAATAAACCTGTACAACTGCCTTAATTCGCACACTTACCTTCTGAAACAAGTGAAACTTATCCTTTTGAATACACAGGTAGGCTCACATGCTTTCTTAGCCACGGCTATTCCCAAGTCTTTGCTTAAAGGTCAGTGGTGTTAATCTCAAAGCTTTACTAAGTGGCCTGTTGAGGTCTAGGCTTGCAGACCACAAACTGCACAGTGGAACAAGTGGCTTCCTTTGGCTCTGTATAGCCTCCCCTTTCTAGGAAAAAAACCCAACACAAGTGCACTTGCAGGGAATACTATTGGTCTGAGTGGGGTTTTTTTCAGCGCGCTACAAGAACATGGTAGGTAGGAGTTGTTGATTTTCAAACAGAAGTGTTCTATCCTCCCGCTTCTGTACGTCGTTACAGATAAGCCACTGACATAACTAAAACTTCCCGTGAGTCAAATTACCTGTCAGTACACATGAACATACCTTTTCGCCAGGAAAACCAGCTACACCATCCTGTCCTTTTGCACCCATTTCACCCTACAAAACAAATTGTTCTGTTAGAAGTTCTAAAGACTTCTGAGGGTAACAACTACTCAGGTCATATCTGATTCAACAGAAAAGCATCTTCGACACTGTTTTTGTCATGATTAACAATGTAACCGCTGTGGAGGAGCATGCCTTACAGGTAACACAAGAATCAGACAAAATAAACACATTTCAAAACACCCATAATGTCAATTAAGACCCGCAACTGACAAAAACACTTGCACATTTCCATAAAAAGCAGGTCTGCTGATTTTAAAGGAACTCACTGACGGCAGAACGAAGCCAAGTGAGTCCATTTTCACTGCGCTGAGCCTGTTCCAGGTTCACAAAGCTCAACATGCAATACAGGTTTCTTCAGCCTAAAAGTCATGTGCCCACAATATTAAAAGACACTATTTGAAATCAGTTCTTCTCTCCCTCCCTGTCACCTGCTCAGAGACACAGAACACTAAACCGTAAGCAATCTGTTAGAAAATTTTAGTCTCAAGAGACAACTGACTGACTGATCAGGAGAGTTATGGGAGATCCCAGCAGCTGCAAATTAGACGATGAGCCTTAAAAATGATTGAAGAAAACATCAAACACGGAAATTTTGCTTAATAATGTCAAATATAAGGGTTATGAAGTTTAAAATAATACATTGGGTGGATGCTAGAGGAATACAATGAAAGCACTGAAACCATAACCTTTATTTAAAAAAAAACCCAACACATTAGGTTTGTCTACTTGGACCAAGAAGAGACCATTCTCTAGCAAACTGAAAATGCTGCAGCCTTTTTTGGAGTAATCCAATTCTTCATGAAGAAAATGTCACTGGTTTGAAAAGTATTAACTACTAAATTGGTTTTTGAGAGAAAGGGTTGCATGAAGAAGCAGAAGAGCCACATTTACACAAATAAATGGTTTCTAAAATAGGTTGTAAACCTAGGTATGGAGCCCAAATGTAAAACTGTAAACCTTAAAGCCACTGCTGATGAATTAGTGTCCAAGACCTCTACATTCACAAAGTCCATAATTTTTTAGATAGCGGGATCCTGGAAACTCATAATTCTGATATTCAGCATATGCAGAATTGTCAGTACTGGACGAAGTTCACCGGTTTAGTTAATGAACCCACTCTGCAGTAACAAAAATACCAGATTCTCATCATCTCCCCAAACGAGATACGCACACAGTGCTGTAGTGACTTCTTTTTCTTCTGTTACATATAGGACAGGAGACAGTGAACAGGGTAGCAGAAAGACTCTGTCTAGGCCACAAAATATACATGTTCTGTGTCCTCCACAGCCTATGAGTGCTCCCAGCCTGCAGCCCTGCTTGTCTGGACCCTCAATGCCTGCCAGCACACTGGTGGCCACGGGTTGTTCCAAAAGTTCACAAGAGGAACATTAGGAATTGAACAAGTTAACCACATCCCAGATGCATGGTCTCCTTCCCAAGAGCAAGGAGACCAGGTTCCTATGTGGATGATCATCCCTGCATTTTATGTGAGAGCATTCCTGTGTAAAGTGCAAAACCATTTCTCAAATTACAACCTAAGTCTCTGTGTCAGGTTTAAAGCAATTTTAATTAGTGTAGCTATGGTACAATAGCATCAGTTAGGTATCCCAGAACTCAGTATCAGAATACAAAAACTGCTGTAAAGTTTTAAAAAACAACAAACCACAAAACACAAAAACCCCACCAAAACCAAAAATCTGAAAGAGCTTCATAGACAGAATGCTGTAGCACCTTTATCTTTTCAGTGTAAACGTAATACTTTTGTTCTTAAATGAAGTTATTAACCTTTCTGAAGTTAAACATGGAGCAGTTAAGTTTGGCAAGAAGTAGTACATAACAACAGCATTTGCTATATCCCAGAACAGCCATTATAAAACATTTAATCCCTGATAAAGGAAGGATTTACAGTATATTCTTTTCTTCAGCATTCCCTCTAGGCTGGCACACAGCAGCTGCTGGCTCAGCACACTGTATTCCGAGGTGCTTAACTCTCCTTATGCTCTACGCAGGGATCTGATCTATGGACGAGATCCAGGGCACTGGAGAGGAGTCTCCATTAAGCCCTGAGAATTCAACATTTTTGTCTACAGGCTCCAGAAAAAAAGAAGGAAAAAACCCACCACACCAAAGAAAAAACCGAAAACGGAAGTGCTACAGCTCAAATTTCCGTGTTATCTTCTTCTAAAAGCAGAATGATGTGTCCTAATGACTATCACCATAATTTTGACGTAAGCTGTCATACCCTAATACTTTTGTTGTTGCTTCTCATCTACCATAAAACTCATCTACCTTCCTTGCCTCCCATTTTAATTTCTTAACAACTATTCAAAGAAACCAACATAAAATAACTGCATGTGCAAAGCCTGGATCAAAACTCCTTTGTTTGTAACACGTGAGCTAAGCAAATCAATGAAATCGAGCAACTCCTGGGTACAGTACCCTTCAGCCGTAAGTTTAAACCACTGCCCAGAAGCAGCAACGTTCTGGAGGAGACTATGACCCATCTCCTACGTCCTTTTAATTCAAATACTGGAACGGTCCTGTGAGCTCTATCTCAAAATTAGACCAAAATCTTGTGTGCCCGAACATCACGAACCCACTGGCACTATGACAGATAAAGAAGCAGGACTGGCCCCTGGTTACCTTCTCTTATCGTCCACAGAATGACACTCTTATCTACGCACGCTCTGTTCCCTTATGCCACTTGCCAGTACTTTAATAGACCAGAACCACTTTATTACATTCAGCAGTGTATTTTTATATACTGTCTGGTCTAAAATTACACAGCCTGCTACATGCCAGGAAGCCTTTAGCATAAATGACATACTAGTCAGTTAACGAAGGTATGTTTACAGTTCTGTTCCACTCTCCACAGGCAGACTCCCCACCTTCAATACAAGGCTACTGCAAATCAGATCATGAAGATATGCTTCTTTCTTGTGTGATTTTATCTAATATCCTGTGATTTTAATAACCACAGTCTGAAAGACTCAATATTTTAATGCTTTTATTCAGTGACTTTAAAGATCAGATACTGTATGTTGTACAACCTACAACAGCATTCACACAGGCAGCACAACAGAATAAAAAGCAAAAATCAATGGGCAAACACATTTTTAAAAGGGGTTTTGTTCATTTTTTTGCATAATGGTGTTTTCCTTTCCTTCTGCAGAACTCAAAGTCCTTTACCAAAGTGAACATGCATCCTCTTCTCTTTCCTACATAGTAAATGCCACAAGCATACAATGAGATGAAAAAACAGAGTTGCTGACCATCAGGGCCGACATCTACCCCATCTCTTATGCCTTAACAAGAGCATTCTAACTTCTGACACATACTGCAATTGAGATTTTCAAGTTTATGTAACCAAATCCGTAAGAACGAGAATAACAAAATCACATTTGCTAGACCTGCCAATGCCAACAGAAATATATGCTGCCAGAAGAACAATTTCATAAGCTAGTGAACAGTGGCAGTTCACACTGGCATTTATAGATTATGAGGTACACTCGGTGTAACAACATTTGAAGGTAAGTACCATGAGTTTTAAGTCTCCTGTTAGGATTTTCTACTAAGGGTACCCATGAAAATATTTTTCAACTGAGCACGAGATATTTACTGAATAAAATATTGAAGCCATAGCACATTTTTCAGAAGGTGATCTTTTGCAAATAGGATGGCTACTATATTTTTGACAATGTTTAGTTTGGTACACTCATAAACAGACAGGGTGGAAATTCAGCAGGCTGGGGAAAAAAAAAGAAAAAAGAAAAAAAGAAAAAAGCTTCTATCAATTTCCCATAAAGCCAAGTCAAACAAAATTCTTCAAAAGAAATTGCAAACAGCAAAGATGATTCTCTCGAATGATACCAATCAGCCTACTATCTGAAGTGGAAACAATTTTGCACATCTGAGACCACCTGCAGTGTTACACTTGTGATCACTTCTTTAGACTAATGATTCAGAGAGTTTCAAAAGCACTTGACCTTTACCTCTTTGCACTATTCAGCTTTTACTCAACGCACCTGCTGTAGAACTAGAAATGATATGCTAGTAGCAAACAAAATACAGCACCTTGATTCCTCTAACACACAGTACTACTGAAGAGTGATGTACAGCAAAGACAGACTAAAACCAAATGTGGTGATAGAATGACAAAGCAGTAATTATTTAGGTGAACAAATTACAGCCCTTTCTCACAGGAAACCAAACATTTTCTTTTAAAGAAATGTTTTTATTTAAATGCATTATTTTGACTCTTAAATTGCAAATTTATTTAAAGTCCATTTATATTGTGATATGGAGTACGATTAATTTGACACATTAATATTTAATCTAGAAAACAAACTCTACAAGGAATTTTGAGAGGCAGGCAATACTCTTAGCAGAGGTCTGTACTAACCAGGTACAGATGATGATTTCAATACTAAGATCACAGAATCACTAAGGTTGGAAAAGACCTTTAAGATCATCTAGTCCAACCATCAACCCAACACTACCGTACCCACTAGACCATGTCCTCAACACCAAGATAATAGCAAGAGCACTTAATAAATAGAATTTATGACATTAACATGCCCTAGAGCAGATACTGCTGGAATATTATGTTGCAACATTGCTCTTGTCTACACTGGGGACATATTAGTTCAGCTAAAATAAGTAACCTACGTCAGTTTTCACAACATTTCTTAACCAAAATCAGATTTGGTTTTGTAAGATTTGATTAAGTAAATTAGTGTTCCTCTCTGCATAATTATGTATGATGTTATTAGAATCAGAAAAGCCCAGGTAAGAAAAATGTGTATAATCATCAAGAAAGAAACACCAGCACACTCTGAATTGGGTTGCTCCCAGCAGACAAGGTACTGTCAGGGTTTCCAAACTGATACAGTGGAAGGTGAAAGAATTAATGTAGAGAACGTACCCTTTATACTACATCTGTCATATGCACAATTAACGTCAGAGGCAGTCCTCTGAAGAAATTATGTACGCTAGATTTTAAAACTTCAACGTACACACCGGTGAACAGTTCTCGTGATGATAAAAGTACTTAGACATGAAAAAAAAAACCAACAAAGCAGCCTTGCCCTGAGCTGGGTGTTGGTGGTTTAACCCCTGCCCCGGGGCCTGTGACTGCTGCCTCCCTGGCTTCAGCTTCAGCTCTGGGGTGGCACTGTTGGGGAGGGTAACAACCCCCCAACCCCCTGAGCACCCCAGGGTGCTGAGGATTCACTGCCACTCTCTCCATTGCCTCTTGAAGAGGACTTAAAAATGCCATCCTTAGGAGTGAGATGAATACTGGACCAGTGAGTATGATAATATAGGAGAGGTATATATTTAAGACTCTTTTTTAAAGAAAACAAATAAAACTGCATTACTAATTATGTTTTTCCTTATTAATTTGATAATTTGGACTGTTTGATGGTTAAAACATTAAGTAAGACTACCAACAAACTCTTAGGTCCACAGATGTGGAGTGTTCCCTTTTGCCCATTATAAGATTTTATTCTACCAAGTAGACTGGCAATTCCCAATTTTGTCATCACTGACAGCCAGCCGTATTTTGCCCAGGTTTTTTTTTTTTTTCATGAATTCCAGCTTCTAGGTCCCTATCAATAACCTCTGCAACAAAAATCAGACCACAAAGGAACCACTCTCAAGGCTGTGTAATATGATATATATGCCTTAGGTGGAATCAGGTGGACCTGGGTTATAAGAGGAATGTCAAAGAAGGAGAAAGAAAGCCTGGTAAGGGCAATAGGCAGATCAGTCAAACATTTCATTTGTTCTCCATGAGCTCTTTTCTTCTCATCATTCTATGGCAAATATTTTCCTTTTGTGACACTATATTGCATAAACGTATCTATACCAAGCCTAAAATAGCATTTTAAGCATCTTTTTCCCTTAAGTAAAATTTAAATTGATGAAGCTCCTTTGAACAGCTATAAATTTCTCCATGGTGTGCATCAATAGGCACTTTAATGTTTGAAAGCACTCTGCCTCTGGCTTTTTGTCCCTGCTGTACTTACAGCAGTAACCAACGACCTATTAACACAGCTTGGAATGATTTAATATTATATCAAAATATTTAATTCTCTTTGGATTTCAATTTAAAAATCTTTCATGGGCACTACGTTTGCTTAAGAGAAATAAAAACATAACTTTCAATTACTTTTTTTAGCCTCTTGGATAGAGAAAATTAGTTTGTATATAGTATATATGGAATCATTCCTATTACTGAAACCCATATTCTGTCTTTCTGAAGAATTTCTACATATCGAGGACAAAACTGGACCTTCACATTGTGATCAAAAGACATTTGCCAACACCGAACACATTTGTGAGAGTCTCAGTAGCTATATACCATGCTGAAGTACTAGAAATTGCTTCCAAAACAGAAAACACCGTAAATTTCTCACTCAGCTCAGCAAACGAGGTCTACAGGACAGATATCAAAATGTGTTAAATCACAGGAGACTTCCACCTGACTCGCAACCACTTGCAACTTGTGAAATACAGTGTGCTAAGATTTAAGCTTCCATGAGTTTAAGACCGTATATGATTCAGGGATAACCTGTATTGTACACCTGAGTGCTGCTGCCTCTCAGTTTTCATCCAAGGGGAAGAAGCTACCAGGCAGTCCAGAAAGTCTGTTTCAAGGGTGGAGATCAGTAAGCAGCAAAGTTGGTCCTGGTGACTTTTTAGTCTTAATTATTCTGACTTTCAGGAACAGGAGGTTGTCGCTTACTGCAGACAGCTGCAGAAGCTGACCTCCCAGCAAAAAAATAGCTGCAGTGCAAACATCCCTGGATGAGAGCTTGCCCAGGAAACACAAAGGACAAGGAGGCAATTTTTGCTAGACAGTGAGGGGTGTATGGGACCAAACTGAACAGTCTGATCATTCAAGAAGGAAGAGTCTTGAAACTGAGGAGCTTCTTCACCCCCCAAAGCACCAGAGATACTATTTCTATTGTAGAGTGAGTGAGGAACTGTCCTTACAAAGCCGTAATGCACGGCCAGGCATACGAATAGGAAGGTCATTCACAGAACTGGAATAATTTTGATCAGTGATGCTCCTGTGCATTTAGATGGACAGCTTGCCAGTGATGCATCAATATTTGCATCAATGCCTTTTCCAGTGAAAATACGACAACTTTGGTCATTTGGGTCCACAGTACTTTTGCTGAGACCTGATGAGGGGTACTAAGATAAACCAAGAGTATAGGACTGCCAAGTGTACTGCCAGCTGTACATGAATGAAGTGGAAACAGCCTAATAATTAAATTTTAAATGCCTAAAAACGGCTTATCAGGTGTCATCCTTTGTACGGGTGATAGCTTAGATATGCCTGAATAGGCAAAACAGAGTCTGATCTTAGGGATCAACTATGTTAGATGGAAGAAAAGGGCAATTCTGGGGGGCTTGAATATAGCCTAACACAAATTTGTATATGTAGAGACTTTCTTGCCAGTCCCACAGAAACAAAAAAACCCATGCAAACTCAGTCATACAATTAATTACTCTGGATGGGAAATTGGAATGAGACAACATAAATAAAAGGATAAGGAATGTTGTGCTGAACAAGAGATAATATCAACAGATACAGAAATTTCCTAGGAAAGAAGCTAAAAAGTTAACATTAACCTGTTTTTACTTGGATGTTCCATGGCAAGAATGTTTAAACAACTGAATTTGGACTTAGAAGTAGTAGTAGGCCACTATCAAAAAAGAAATTATTGGTATAAATCATGAAAGATGTTTTTTTTTTCATGAATCTCAAGCTTAACAATTTTCAGTCTTACATCTAAACCAAAATACGGCCTCATGCAATTTACTATCAGTGGTGCAAAGAAGTTGAAAGTGTTCATTGACTGCTGGGTGGGTTTGAACCTATGCAATGAGGGTTTTTTTGTAAAATGAACATGAGAACAGAACAGGAGGTGACCAGAGGCACCCACATGCTTAACTTAGAAGTACTGTGGTTAGCATGGTAAATATTACTAATTGGATATGAGATGGAATGGTAAAATAATTAGACTTCTGAAGTCTCTTTTGTAGGAGTAATAGTCTATATGGATCATAGCAGGAGCAGAAGAGCAGTTTCCCAAATAAATCCCAAGAAACTCCCTATGCTGGTAACATAGGCTAATCCTAACATAGACAACTGTTCTAGATACTCAGACCCAGAATCAGCAAAACCTCATAACTAAATTAGAAAACTGCCAGCAAACCCTCTAGTTTCAGCTGGGCTATAGAAACTAATGTGCTTGAACATTTTTGTGCACCTAGGAAAAAGGTTCAGCTAGTATGAAAAGTGACATAGATACTGAAGGGGAGGAGTTGGGGTGGGGGGAATACACTGTCAAGGAATTTATTTAATTAAAACTGACTGTATGGATAAAGCCTCGCAGAACCGGTCCCTTTTCAGCCAGGTACCGTAGGCCTAGGAACAGCGCTGGCTGTCTTCACAAGCTATTTCAGATCATGTATTAAACAGTGTGCTAGGAGGGAGGATGCTGGGTTAGGACACCTCCATTCCAACCTCTGGATTAGGACGTTCCAGGCATCCTCCCCTCACACTGCATTCCCTGAATTTGGAATTCCTAGCCACTGTCTTTCTGGCTGATTTGCAACAGTTTATTCAAGCTGCCCCTTCTATTAGCAAAACCAAAATGCATTCTCAGACATATCCTGATCCAATATCCTCCTACCAAATTTAGGGAATGGAGTGTGAAGGGAATACATCTGATAGGCTGACCTTCATTCTTAGGAAAGCCCTAAGCTAAATCACACAGAATGTCATGGCAAGCTCTACAGAACAAAAATTCAGAATAGGCCGAAGGAAAAGGGAAGAACTGCAAGGCTGAATCCACAGCACAGGGCTTTGTCCATCAGCAGTGACGTACAGACAATATGGGAAGTCCTTGTCACAGGGGACATACACATCTTCTCTTTTTTTTGGTAAAGGGAACAGTCAATAGGACATGCTAACAGGGTTGGGTAGGCACGTGCTTCCCAGGTAGGTAAACTGTGTTCCTTGGAGTTGATGGGGGGACCCCAAAGTGAGACAGCTGTAGGCTGCCTGGCAGGAAGCCCACATGCAGAACCAGAGACTGGCTGATAAAGGTTTTAAACCTGTGTACGGGGAGATTCCTTTAAGGAACAACAGAATCCATGAAGTTGCTATTTAAGAACAGTAAGCCAAATACAAAGATTTGAAAGAGAGAATTCAGTTGATATTTTACCTTTTCACCTTTATATCCTTTCTGGCCTGGCAAACCAGCTACTCCTGGCAATCCTGCTTCTCCCTGATTTTAAAAGAAATGAAAAATCAACAAAGAAGCAGATCCAAACTATGTATTTGGTTTGATTTCCTTGTCGTTACAACAAAAAAAAATGACTCAGAATAAATCTAGTGCAACACCCAGGAAAAGGATTAAAAAAAAGCATTATGTAGAAAATTATTTATTCTCAAATAAAAACATTTACACTAAATATAATGCCTAAACCTAATTATTATTTTTACTATGGATAATTTTGCATGTATTCAAACAACTAAGCCTTACAGATCTCTGCAACTTATTAACTTTATATTAAGTAAATCTAAAATGCACTGTTTCTTAACAGAGAAATACAATGTGAGTACATTACAGCACTACATCCAGTAAGAGATTTTTCATAACTGCAAAAAAACCAACCAACCAAGCAAAAAAATCAACCTTTTTTTCAATAGCTAGGGGGACTAAACAGCATGATGGACTAAAAAGTAATAGGAAAACCTCATACTTTATTTGGAAAGCAGTGGCATCTCTCTCTAGATTCTTGCTGCATTCCTGGAAGTGTGTATAACTTCCTAGCATCCAGAGTCACTGATGATGAAGTTGTAGCAGGTAACCTCTCCTCACGTGGGCACTAGAATTAAAAAAAGAAGACTTTCTGATTATTGGTCCACTTCGGTTAACACGTAAGTACCATCCAAACACTGTTTATAAGTTACTTTCTGTTTTAATACTCCTGTACACACCATATTACAAAGAAGACACAATAATTGCCAAAAAAAGGAAAAATCTGTGGTAAAATGAAATGCAGACATTGTGACCCTTCTAAAATCAACGCCAGTTAAAAGTGATCTGTCCCACTTCTTCCTTCAAAAAAAAAAAAAAAAAATTCTTCTGTAAAAGAAATTCCCACGGGATTTACAGGTAGCAATTTGTATCCAAGGATAAATTCTTGTCCTTAAATTATGGAAAATGTAACCTTTATAATTGATAAGGAAATAATGAAAAAATAAGTCAGTAAATGTAACGCTGGTTTCAAGAGGAAAGTCGTTAACAAGTACTCCATCACTTTTTACATCTTCAACATAAGATACACAAATGAAACTAATGGTGCTTTTCGCTATATAGGTGAATGAATGTTTACAATACTATTAATAAAGTCTATCCTTGATCTTTTTATGTTCGTGTATCGTTTGCATTTGTTTTGGTATTACTTTTCTGCCACTGTGTCATAACTGCTAAATAAACTGTATTTCCATGCACAAAGTGGAACCTACAGAAAAAAATCCATTCATCTCACTTATCCATGAGCTTATACATTCAAGAGAAAACCTGAACTATTATCAGGAATATATTTTGAAGTGTATTTGAACAATAAATTCTTACTTAAAACTGAAATTCTCTTTGATAAATTAGATCCGGCCTCTTCCATACTTCTGAGCACCTATCAGTTGTCAGTTCCCACAAAGTCTTCTGCTTCTCTGTTCTTGGGCAGCTTTATCCCTCCATTCCAGGTACCCTCTTCTCCCACCTTTTTGTAGATGGAATCACTTAGTCCTTCTGTACACTATGGGCTTTTTTGTTGACTGCTATCTGGGGGGTGATGGTACTGCCCACTATCTCAGAGAAACCTGCTCTTAATTCAAAACTAGCAGACTGATATTTTAACATATAATCTTTCTGATTTTTTCTATTCCTCCAAATGGGCTTGATTCAGCAAAACAACCACATGCCCAACCAACCTCAAGCATTTCTATAGTTCTAGCGTCTTCCAGTTTATACTGACTCTGTCTATCAAATCAAAAGGGAAAAGTGAACCCTCTAAATCAATGTTTTCCCCTGTGTTGAACACATATACATCTCTGCATGTGCAGAACAAAGTATTTGCCAATTACGAAACACCCATTGCTTCATGTTAGCGTACTGACTGCAGGTAAACACCCTCAAATGCCTTCCCGTAATTCCCTTCCAGTGTCATGCGGAATCTTTCATGAGCTTTGTTTATCACCTGTCATGCTTCACGAGCTGCAACTGTTATTAAAACAGCCTCTGTTATTTGAAGCCATCCTCAGGTCATTGCAGTGATTTGTTTCCTACTCTCTGAAACTTTGTCAATTAATAACTGGACATTAATCAATGTTAAGAAAAGCATTTCAAAAGCACTAGCAGCACCTAGTGCCTTCTTCTGAAGTTCCAGTGTGCCATTTATTTAGGCAGCCGGAAAAAAAATGTATTATAACTCCAGATACCATTTTTAGGAGGTAATTAATCTAACACTTCTACAGAAATTTCTTTACAGCTCATTAGTAGGAAACAATGAAGCAATTTCTTTTGTATTAACATTTGCATTTTAACAAATAGCTTACCAGGTCTGCGGATATTTCACAACATGTATCTTCTGTTGCAAGTTTTGGATTACAATAAACTGTTAGGCGGTGAAGTTCAATCTATTAAGAAATACAAAAGAAATAAGTATGACACGTAAAAAAAAGCGTGGTTATGGCATGCATTCTCCTGTCTTGGCACAATAAATGTTCTGCCTGAGACAATGCATATTTCTGAAATGTTAGAAAAAGAGACAAATCCAAAACAATTACACATTCAGCCTGGAGAAGAGAAGGCTCCAAGACCTTATTGCAGCCTTCCAGTACCTGAAGGGGCTACAAGGAAGCTGTGAGGGGACTTTACAAGGGCCTGTAGTGACAGGACAAGGGGTAAGGGGGTTAAATTGAAAGCGGGGAGGTTTAGAGTAGATATCAGGAAGAAGTTCTTCATGGAGAGGGTGGTGAAGCACCAGAACAGGTTGCCCAGAGAAGCTGTGGATGCCCCATCCCTGGAAGTGTTCAAGGCCAGGCTGGATGAGGCTTTGAGCAACCTGGTCTAGTGGAAGGTGTCCCTGCCCATGGCAGGGGGGTTGGAACTAGATGGTCTTTAAGGTCCCTTCCAACCCAAACCATTCTGTGATTCTATGATGATTCTATGACCTCTTCACTTAAGGAGCAAACTAGTCTCTTACTTTGACATAAATCACATTTTAGATTCGATTTGTCTTGATATACGTGGCATTCCTCTGCACTTCTCTTGCTATGCCACACAGGCATTTTAGCCCTCCAGGCTTCCTCTGCAAACCTTCTTTTCAGGAGTGTAACCTTCTCCTGCAGTGAACTAGAGTATAGGTTTGATAAGCTCTCTCACATCCATCTCCTATCACTCTGGACAGACCTTTGCCTGGACCTTGACACTGAATCACTTGGGAGAGCAAAAATCACAAATTCTATGTATAAAGCTTCTGTTTCAGAGACTTTGGGTGGATTGGTGAGATGAACAGCATCCAATTTTAACTAGCTAATGCCTTTGTATGCCTCTTTCTGCATCTGTTTTGTATCCTCTTGCTGTCTCCCTTGCACTCGATATTGAGAAGAGTGACTTGGTACAGGATCTGCTCTGCTGCCTTTACCAGCTTTATGCCTATAATGTTTCCCTGCAAATGTGGAAATCCTGATTGACAACTTCCACTCATAATTATCCAAGGACAAGTACAGGCTGGGTGG